ATGGTGCAGGTGTGTGTGAGAGAGAGAGAGGGAGAGAGAGGGAGAAGAGAAAGAGAGAAAGAAAGGGGGGAGAGGAAAGAGAGGGAGAGGAAAGAGAGAGAGAGAGAGGAGAGAGAGAGAGAGAGAGGAAAAAGAAAGAGAAAGAGAGAGAGGGAAAGAGGGAGGAAAGAGAGAGAGGAGAGAAAGAGAGAAAGAGAGGGAGAGAGAGAAAGAGAGAGGGAGAGAGAAAGAGAGAGAAAGGGAGAGAGAGGAAAGAGAAAGAGAGAGAAAGAGAGAGAGAGAGAGAGAGAAAGAGAGGGAGAGAGAGAGGAAAGAGAAAAAGAGAGGGAGAGAGAGAGAAAGAGGAAAGAGAGAGGAAGAGAGAGAGAGGGAGAGAGAGGAGGGATAGAGAGAGGCGTTGGACGTGGCTGAAAATCTCGCTCTCCTGGAAAAAAAGCCTTGACATTTTAAATCGCCTCTCTCTCTCTCTCTCTCTCTCTCTCTCTCTCTCTCTCTCTCACACACACACACACACACACACACACACACACACACACACACACACACACACACACACACCACGCACACACTGTCCAGTATTGGGCCGAACAGGACAAGGGGATCAGAAGTCCCCTCTGCTTAGATTGCTTAAAAGAAACGCTCCGGGAGGGAGGTGCGGGAAGGGTGAAGCTCTCTGGAGGAGGTCCAGCCTTTTCTGAGGGTTTTTTTTTTTTAAAAGAACCGTCTATTCCTCTGTTAGGCTTGAATTTCTCCCCCCCCTCCAGCCCGCCCCCCACCCGGAAGGGCGCGCCGGCGAGACGGGCTGGGAGGGTGGGCGAGAAAAAGCGAGGCGAGTCCCTTTGGCCCGCCAGGCGGTTGCAGCCGCGCTCCCGTCGGGCTGGGGGGGGGGTCAACCTGTGTGAATGCCACCTGGTGGATGGCAGGGCGGCCTCCCGGCCCGGCGCTCCTCCCCTCCGCCTTCCCCCGAGGCCGGTGGCCAATGGCTCCTTCCCCCTCCGCCTAGGTCCCTGGCAGAGCGACCGGGGGCGTTGGAGAGCTTTCGCTGCCGGTGGCGCGCAGAGGGACGAGCGCGGCGGCCGTTCAGTCGAAGAGGTCCGAAGGCGTGAAAAGAGCCAGTCCGAGGGGGGGGGAGGAGAGGCAGAGAGAGGGGGCGGCCAGCCGCAGCCCCCCCCCGTCCCCCGCCATGCCTCGGTCGTTCCTGGTGAAGAGCAAGAAGGCGCACAGCTACCACCAACCCCGCGGCCCCGACGGCGACTACGGCGGCAGCCTGGAGAGCGTCTTGGCTCAGATCTGCGCAGGTAAGAGCGGGGGGGGGGAGCGCCTGCCCGGGGGGGGGGCGCGCAAGGCGATCGCCTCCGGGCACCTGCTCTCCCGCAGGCGGAGGAGATCCCGGAGAAGGTCCGGGGTTCTGACGGGCGCGGCTGACACGGAAGAGCCGCCAGGCTGCCCCGCCCGCCCCGTCCGCTCGCCGGCTGAGTCGGCCCCACGCGCGGAACCCACACAAACGGCCGGTCCCACCTTAATCCCTCGCGTCCCAGGAAGGATTGCCGTTGTCAGACTCGTTCCAGCGTTACAAAGATCGTGGGAACGGCTTGGGACCCGGGTTGAACTGCCTCGATCCCCTGGCTTTGATTCAGCCCCCCCCACCTCGCACACCCCCCACCCCAAAATCGGGCATCGGCAGCATCCTCGGGAGAAAAAAAAACAAAAAACCCAACGGTCTTTTTTTCTTCTTTTCTCGTTCCTGGACAGACCGTACGGTTTCGCACCTGGCTCTCCCCGAGCGGGATCTCCCCCCGGGTCGCCTCTCCCCGGCTTCGCAGCTTCCCGATGGGGCGGACGGCAGCTCCGATTCGGCCCCCAGCTGCGAAAGCAGCAGCAGCGTGTGCGACCCGGCCGCCGAGATGGAGGATTTCTGGAGACCGCCCTCCCCCTCGGCCTCCCCAGGTAGGGACTGAAAGAGGGGACGGAGGGAAGGCGGGCGCGTTTGAACCCAGGGCGCGTGAAGTAGCCAGGTCCGCTTGCCCAGGACCTGAAGAAGATTAGGCTGATTCAGAAGACCAGGGTTCAAGCTAGCCATCGTCTCGTCTTCACTGGGAAGGCTGTTTGGAGTCAATAATAATAGACGTACACGCAGGGTCTTTTTTAAAAGGGGGGGAGGAGAAGGAGAGAGGGAGCGTTTCGGAGCTTTTCCCGACTTTGCGCCCTCTCCTATGGCAAGGTAGACTTTTCTCCGTTGTTCTTGCATGGGTGGAAGAGTCAATGGCTCCAAGTCTTGGAGTCGGCGTTACCCCGGTTTAGTTTGATGGCTTCAGCGTCGACCCCTTTCCTCGTTTGAAATGCGGAATGAATGAATGGTGCCCCCGTATTTGGGCCAGGACTCCCTAAAGGTCGACTTTAAAGGGAGGGGGGGGGGTCCTTCGGTTTCCTGCCGAGGAGCCAAATCGCTTGGAGTTCAGCGAGGCTTCCTGGAGTTGGGGGATTGGACGTGTCAGGTGCCTGGAGTCCTCCGCTTCCTTGTGCAAGAAGACCCCCCTGTCCCCCCCGTCCTTCTGGGACCAGCAGGAAGGGAAACGAGGCTTTCCCTTGTTCTCCCCAAACAGTGCCAAGAGCGCGTGGCTTTGTGCAAAACTCGGTGAAGTTTTGGTGTAACGTGTGAACCTTATCTCCTCGAAGATAAGGATCGGGGCGGGGAGAGGGAGAGAAGACGAGGCACTTTGGGGCGAAAAAAGGAGTGTGAAGAGCCTGCATGCAGTACTGCCGGCTGACTCTGCTCACTGCCAGGAGTTCGATCCTGACCGGCTCCAGGTTGACTCAGCCTTTCCGTCGTCGGTAAAATGAGGACCCAGATTGTTGGGGGGGGGGCAATAGGCTGACTCTGTAAACCGCTTGGAGAGAGCTGTAAAAACACTACGAGGCGATACATAAGTCTAAGTGCTATTGCTATAACCCCCGGCGTCACATTGGATCGGACCCACTCCGGGTGAAATCCCCCAGCGGGTTGGGGAGAGAAGCTGAGCTCCGGAGGTGGGGGACGCGTGCTGGAGGGGGGTTAGGCGACGGGTTGGCGTTGCCCCACCAGGAAAGGGCTGAGCAGCCCAACTTTCCTCTTTGGGGGAAAGTGAAGGGAGCGGAGAAAGAAAAAGGCGCCCCTGATTGACAGGTAGTAATAATAATAATAATAATAATAATAATAATAATAATAATAGTAGTAGTAGTAGTAGTAGTAGTAATAGTAATAATAATAATAATAGTAATAATAATAATAGTAATAATAATAATAATAATAATAATAATAATAATAATAATAATAATAACAACAACAACAACAACAATAAAGTTAGAAGGGACCTTGGAGGTCATCTAGTCCAACCCCCTGCTCAGGCAGGAAACTCTATACCATTTCGGACAAATGGCTGTCCAGTCTCTTCTTAAAAACTTCCAGTGTTGGAGCATTCACCGCTTCTGGAGGCAGGTTGTTCCACTGGTTAATTGTTCTAAATGTCAGGAAGTTTCTCCTTAGTTCTAGGTTGCTTCTCTCCTTGATTAGTTTCCATCCGTTGCTTCTTGTCCTGCCTTCAGGCGCCTTGGAGAATAGCTTGACTCCCTCTTCTTTGTGGCAGCCCCTGAGATGTTGGAACACTGCTATCATGTCCCCCCTCGTCCTTCTCTTCGTTAAACCAGACATACCCAATTCCAGCAGCCGTCCTTCCTTTCTCCCCTCGTCGACCCAGAAGCAGCCTCGGCGGGCAACCGCGGCTCCTTCTGGCGACCATTCCAGAGAAGCGCCGTCTCGGGTGGTTCCTTCGGCCTTTGATGTGGCGGGACGCGGGAGGAAGCCGCGCAGCTCGCCGCTTGGCGAGGCCGATCCCTTCGCAGCCGTTTTCCCTCCGCTTCCCCCCCCCCTCTCCCTCCCTCCCGCCTCTCTTTTTCTTGGTTTAACTACAAAAAACAAACTTCCTCTTTTTCAAAGAGCCGGTTGAGAAGTTTTACGGCTGGAATAAGGAAAGCGTAAAAAGAGCCCTCCGGCAGTGAAAATGGGAAATATTTTTTTTAATGTTTTATTCTTTTTTTTAAAAAAAACAAAACACTCCGAAATTCTGAAAACGTCTCTTTCTGGCGTAAAACGAGAGAAAGCCATCTGTTAGTTTTATTAAGAGATAATTCCCGTTAATTAGGAAGGTGTGTCATGGTGAGAAGTGAAAACAGCCTCCAGCTTCCCCCCCCAATAGAGAGGGTCAAAAATTTGACCGAGCTGGATGTTGTGTGTAAAAGTGTCAATTTTGGGCCTCAGGCCAATAAAACGAGAAACTCAGCTGGTGCACACATTAAGGAAGAATTTATTCAAAGTCGCCCTAAAGTGTAGTTAGTTTTGTGAGGCGGGTGGTCCAAGTTGTGTCACAAGTAGTGGAGGTAAATATCATTGGGGCTAGCAGGATGCCTGTGGAATTTTTCCTGACCACTCTTTTTCACACTTCCGTGACATAAAAAAACCTGTTTCATTAAAAAAAAAAAATCAAACCCAAACCTGCTTAGAAAAACACCAAAGTAAGCAGCCAGTAGGAATAGCAGAAGAAAATCCTGAAGGACTTGGAGGCTGGCTAGTGGGAGGAGCAGGTAACAATCTGGCAAAACCATGCCTTGAAATTGTTTTATGTGCCTCATGGGAATAATTTTGGGGATGAGCAAGCTCCTGCTATTTTACGAGCTTGCCTACATTATCGGTACAAAATTTCAAAGACAGTATAAACCCGTTAGCAAAGGTTCAGGTCCCCTGGAACGATTAATGAAATCACTGACAACAACTAAACTCTAAAATCCAAAGCTGAAGGTGATTTATTCAGCTTCAGATTTAGTCAGCTGCCCCTGGGTTTTATAAAATACGTTTCTGTGGAAGATCTGTCAAGACAACCTCAAAGACTTTCTGGTGCGTTCGTTCAGTTAGTCACCAGCCTTTCACCAACTGAAATGACCAGAACAAGAACAGGATAATTTGGGAATATCTACAGAACTTACTGTATTCCTTCTTTGCCTGTGATGTGAATGAAAGCCCATCATTGAAAAGTGGCATGCATTCATAATTGTCATAAGACAATACAAATTTAAAGGTAAATTACTTAAAAGGCAATTAAATTTCCCTTGTCTGCCAGGCCTACAATAAAAAAAAAAGATTTTTTATTCCTTTGCTGAAACACATCCTTTAATTTCTTTATAAAGTTGTTTTATCTCCTCCCCACACTTACGAAAGTTGCTTTGTTGGTACATTATCAGAGGAAATAGTCTTCAATTACATCTTCATTGGTTAGCTAATACAAAAACAATAATTATGTAAAATACAAGAGGGATGTGAATATTTGCTGCATTTCTTTTCATTTGGACTCTCTTTCTGGGGGTGGGGGGGAGGTTAATGGCTATTAAAATAGTTATCAGGGTGGATGTGAACAATCTCAAAACATATAGATCAGAAGATAAAGCTCTGGGCTCCACCAGTCCACCCATCTGCTACTTTATTTTCTGATAAAACCTCATTGTGGGAAGTACAAATTATACTTGACATTGATCCTTTGGTTTTGCATCATTTAACCGAATACAGAAAGAAAAGAAAGACAGACAGACTTGTGAGCACATAGATTTGCCCTCTCAAGTCTTGATACTTGTTTTCATTTTTTGTTTCATTTTAACTGAACCTATAGTTTTTAAACAAAATTCTCAAATTTTAAAAACTATATATATATAACGTGAAGATTTTTTAAAACCCCATAACGGAGCAGTTTAATTAATTCAATTAGTTAATAATTGCATTTAAAATGTCTAATTCAGGGTAAAGACACACCTTGTACTTTCCAGGTGGAAATATAATAACGTATCCAATGTTTGTAAAGCCAACGCTGCCTGATCTGAAAAAGCTAAGCAAAGTTGGACCAGGTTAATATTTGAATGGGAGGCCAGGGAATTCTCAGAGAATTCTGTAGATTAAACCTATAAGTGAAAACAAAACAGAATTAAACCCACACAACCTGGAAATACCGGAAAAGATAATGGCAGTTCCCCTCTGTACTGTTGTCAAGAAAATTACATGGATGTGCCCATGATGTATCCAGAAATTAAGTTTGACTCATAAATTTGAAGTGTCAGTTTAGACAAAAAAGGCAAGCAGCTGAATTTATAAAATCAGCAGTGTTGTAGTCCAGTTTCCCTGATTCGGGTTGCAAGAGTTGATCGTTTTCAGAGGAATCGTTGTAGCAATCGGCAGTCTGACCACTAGCATGTTGGAGAGAAATGTCAGCAACTGTCTCTTTTTCTATGTGCAGAGAAACAAGAAAACCAAAAGAAAAAGTTACAGCCTAAAATCTTTATGGCCCAAGTCTTTTTATTTTGCTGCAGATAGATATAGTTTGTTTGTTACAAAGACAACCTGAACTATGTGTTGTTTGAATTTGTTTCAATAAGTTCTCACCTGGAGATTTTGTATTATTGTGTTCAATCTTATTAATGTTGTCATTTGTGGAGTTCTGCTTTGGAAAGCCTAGTCCCACCTCCTCTTAAAAAATTCAAATCCCTAAAGTTTGTGATGATGCTGAAGACAACTGCAACTGGTTAAATTCTAATCAAATCCCAAATGGGAAGTGCTTTTGCTAGTATCTCTTCAACACATCATATTTATATGTCTCATGTATTTAGAAGATGGGCAAATATATTGCTGAAGAAGGTTCATGCAGGCGATCATTTCTGAGACAAGAAGAATGATAGAATGAATCTCATTGGTTTTGTGCCAGGGAAAAAAAAGAGGTGGAGAATTAATTTCCCTTTAATCTCAACATTCTACAGAAAAGGCAGTGCAGAGTTTATACTTTTGAAAACAGCCTTTTTCTGATTTTGAGCAAAATGCAGATGGAAAATATAACATTACTGCATATAGAAACCAGACTCAGGTCATGAAAAACATTGAATTCATATGTAGATGAGTAATTATTATGAAGCTCATTTAAATAAGTGAGGAGAGATTGTTCAGAATTATTATTTATGGCCTACAGAAGTGTTTAATTTTTTCACTGCATGTTATTTCAGATAGAATGTTTTGTGTTTATTCGAAACCCTAGATAAATGAGAGAGTAGTTTGGTAAAGCAAATTTCCCTCCCCTCCCCTCCCCTTCCCTTCCCATCCNCTCCCTCCCCTTCCCTTCCCTTCCCTTCCTTTCTCTTCCCTCCCTCCCCTCCCCTCCCTTTCCTTTCCTTTCCTTTCCTTTCCTTTCCCTTCCCTTCCCTTCTCTTCCCTTCCCTTCTCTTCCCTGCCCTCCCCTCTCCTCCTCTTCCCATCCCTGCCCTTCCCTGCCCTGCTCTGCGGCTTAGGAGTGCATGAGCTTCCTAGTAATCGTCTCTATTCTATTTGTATCTTACCAGCTTCTGAGCGCTCCATCTGTCCATCCTTGGATGAACCCTCCCACTTCTCCCTGCCCCTGAAACCCTACACATGGAGCAGCCTGGGAAATACTGAACTGAGACATTTGGTACAGAACTGCAGGCCTTGCTCAACTCTGGAACATGGCCTCTTCTGTGAGCGGGGATCTGAGCCTGTTCTGTATGCCTCAGAGCGCAACTCAGCTCTTGGACTCTATGGTGACTTTGGCTCTCCTGGACTCTTTGAGCGGCCAGCGGCAGCCCCTGGGATCTTTGTGGAGACCCCACCTGGACTGCAACCGGAGAAGAGTGTAAATAGCATCAAATTGGAATCGGAACTCCTCTGTCGCCCTCTGTTGCTCAGCAGTGGCTCCTACAAATGCATCAAATGCAGCAAGGTAGGAATTGGAGGGGCCAGACCAAGGATGGGCAAACCAAAAGGCAAGGGTGGTCAAAACAGAGGTAGATCAATGATCTGAAGAAGTGATGGGAGGTGGGGGTCAGAGTGTCACATGACTTGCCTTGATCGTTTATTGATCATATGATTCAAAATGGTCTGATGCATCAGGCCAAAAATGTATTCTATTTTTTTTTTTTTTTTGCGCAGTGATCAGTCAACTGCCTACGGGAAATCCACGGCAGGACATGAAATCCAGGCTCATATTCTCCAATATCCCCCCCACCAAAATCTAGTATTCTGATTCTGATTGTGGGATGGTATACATAGCTATAAGTCACCATTAATATATTTTCCCTTATATGAATAGATTCTTCATAACTGTGTTCATCACATACCATATATCACGAAAGGTCTAGCATCCTTTACATAAAGCAATCCAGTTTTCAATTGAACTAATCAGTTGATTGAGTTATGGATCACAGGTAATATATATACCTGGAGCCCTAGTGGGATGGATGACAACATTAAAAGAAAACCAAATGCCCCCGAGACCCGCAGTAGAAGAAAACATGAAATGGGAGCAAATAACATCAAAAGGGAGGAGGACATAAGGGTGTTAATAAACCCAAACATTGACAATGAAGGAGCAGGTAAGAAGGTCCAAAAAAAACGACAGAAGAGAACACAATGCAAAGGAAACATCTGGAATACAAATTGACCGACTAGGACCGGTGACGCAATCTAAGAGCCGGGTGCAAATGTCAGCTAAACCTATTTAAGTCATCTTTGTTAACTGGCTTTTTAGCCCTGATGATGTTGGGAGTTCCCAACGAAAGCTTGGCGGTTTTAGCTTAAACTGAGAATCCTTGAATGAAACCATTCTTAGAAAACTACTAGAATACAATTCCTGGGAGAACAGCATTAACTGTCAATAGCAAACCACTTCTTAGGAATCCTTTCTATGCCCATGTTGTCCTTTGGTTATTGCTCAATGGTATCACCAAGGGAAATCCTTGATCAGGCAACTTCAAGAGCAGAATCTGCCATGAGCTTTGGTCCCGAACACTGATGTTTTCCTTCACCCTTTGTTTCTCAGGACTTCTCTACTCCGCATGGCCTAGAGGTGCATGTTCGTCGTTCACACAGTGGCACCCGGCCCTTTGCTTGCGAAATGTGTGGAAAGACATTTGGCCACGCTGTTAGCTTGGAGCAGCATAAAGCTGTGCACTCCCAGGTGAGAGTACAGGAGGAGATGACTCTGGGTGGGGTGGGGGTGATGGAGTCTCCAGGTATCAGAGGGTATGAAGACGATCAGATGGACCTTAATTCTGAGTGATTCCTCCAATTGTAGCTCATCTGGAAAAAGACCCATTAAAGCAGGGGGCCTTCAAACTTGGCCCTTTTATGGACTTCAACTCCCAGAATTCCTCAGCCAGCACTTAAGACAGGATTCAGTCTGCATCAGCAATGGGCGGACTATAAAATGGAGGCCCTTTGTGAGAACTTGTTCTCTGCAAAAGTTAAGCGAGGTATCTTCAAGCTGGGGCAGGGAAGTGGTAAGGATCAGCTCTGTATGTAGGTATACACCAGTGATGGCGAACCTTTTAGAGACCGAGTGCCCAAAAACTGGCCCCGCCCCCACTCCACCCCCTTCCCCGCCCCCACCCCACCTGCCGGCAGGGCCACTTACCACCCCCAGGGCCTGCCACAGATCGCCCAGGCAGCCCAGCAACACCATTGTGGCCATGCCTCTGCCCGCGCCGCGCAGCATCAACTGTGCACAATGGGGTGTGAGGGCAGAGTCTTGTCTACGCTGCCTGGCTGCCATGTCCTTGACTGCACTGCTCCGCGCGGGCCACGCTTGGGGGTGACTCTCCTCCAGGGGGGCTGCTGGTGAGGAGGGGATCACGGGAGGAGGCAAGGTTGGGCAACAGCACGTGTGCCCACAGAGAGGGCTCCAAGTGCCGCCTCTGGCACGCGTGCCATAGGTTCGCCACCACTGGTATACACACACTGTTGCCTGTAAAGAGAAAGAGGATGTGAAAAGCTTTTAGACGGACTAATATATAGTTTGGGCTGTCACATGGAGCTTGTTTGATTACAATAGACCCCGTTGAATTCTTTCTATTATATGAAAATCGGAGTTGTTGGAAAAACCCGTTTTAGCATCAGGATGGCGATTAAAGATACATGATAAACTAAGCCAAATTCAAATTTGGTTGCAATTATTTCTTTAATATATCAACCATGGTTCTTTTTTGGAGGAAGCACAAAATACAGCTATTTTTTAGGATAGCTACTTCAATCATTAAGGGGAAACAGCTATACTTGATGCAGGCCAGCAAGGGGAGGAGATCAAAGGAAATATACAGGTAGTCCTTGACTTATAACCACAACTTAGCCCAAACTTTCTGTTGCTAGGTCAGACGTGTGAATTTTGCCCCATTTTACGACCTTTCTTGCCGCAGTTGTTAAGTGAATCAGTGTAGTTGTTAAGTTAGTGACATGGTCGCTAACTGAATCTGGCTTCTCCATTAACTTTGCTTGTCAGAAAGTCGCAAAAGGGGATCACATGACCCGGGGACACTGCCACCGTCATAAATAAGAGTCAATTGCCAAGCATTTGAAATTTTATTATGTGGCCATGGGGATGCTGCAATGGTCATAACTGTGAAAAATGGTGATAATTCACTTTTTTCAGTGCCTTTGTAATTTTGAACCATCACTAAATGAACTGTTATAAGTCGAGGATTACCGTTTGAACCAGGGTGCCTTCTTAAACCTGAAACTGAAAAGAGAAGTTTTAGGGCTGAATGGGAATGGAGAACAAATTTCCAACTAAATTTGGAAAATGGTATTCCTTCCTTGATTTTATCACTACAGTTTCCCATCCTTTCCGTAAGAATCTTCTTTATAAGGTTACACAGGAATGTATGAAGACAGAAAATTCATTTCAGGGACAACTGCACTTTTATTTAGTTTATTTAATAAGGAAAATACGTTGCCATAGATGCTTTTTAATTACATTGTAAGGATGGTCAGTCAGGGCTTTTGCTCATCCAGTTTAATTCTTTACACTCTGCATTTACATTGCCTAAGCAGGATACTTAGTATAAACCTTGCTTTTTTCCTGCATTTTGGATTCTGTTCAGATATTTGCATAAGGCCCAAGTCACATGAGGGAGACTTAAAGGTGCTTCTCATCGCCCATGTAATAATAGATCTTCCAGTTTAATTTGATGAGTCCTTGTGGTTCGGCTTCTTCAGATTTGCTTCAAGGCGATAAACAGTTTTCCACAATCCCTCAATTACCGTAATCAGAATAGAGCTGGAAGGGACCTTGGAGGTCTTCTAGTCCATCCCACTGCTCAAGCAGGAGACCCTGTACCATTTCAGATAAGTGACTGTCCAGTCTCTTCTTAAAAACCTCCAGTGATGAAGCACCCACAACTTCTGACACTGGTTAATTGCTCTCACTGTTAGGAAGTTTCTCTGTTTCCTTCTGTGTTGGATCTACTAATTTCATGATACTAATTGGAAATTGAGAGTTGCAGCCCATGTGAATGGCTAGAACTTGCCTGTGATCTAGGTGATTGCTCTTGGAGAGGAAGTTCTAGATTAGACTGATTTCCATTATGAACCAGTAGACGTAGGCCTAATTACTATTATTGTAATTAAATCTTGCTTTCTCCATAAACGTCCAATTTAGACTTGAAGATAGGCCGTGGAAAGGATGGCTTAAAGCAATCTGAACTGAGTTTTCATGTCTGCTACTGCCCGTTTGCTTCAATGGGAGCTTGTAGGCCTTTTCAAATTACAGATTTGGATAGGTTGACCTAGATCAGGACAGTATAGTTAGGGTGTACTGTTCATTTTTTGAAAGAAATCTTGCACTCAAGCAAATCCTATGATTAATTTTCAGATTTTGAAAAGGGATTGTACAGCATAAGTCATACTGGAAAGTAATATATTTTCCTTAACACCTTTCACAAGTGTTTTATTTGTTTTAACATTTGGTTATAGCAGTATCACCTTCCTTCCTGGCTTTCCACACAACCTACACTTGTGGGAAATTTTCTTTGTAGCTCTTAAAGCACAGAGATATTTGGTTTTTATGTCTGGATAGCCTGTCCTTTCTTTGGGATGAAGGTATGATCTAGATCAGGGGTCCCCATGGCATGCCAGCAACTGATCCGCACAAACAAGGAAAGCCCCATCCACAGGATGCAGGCAACACACAAAAGTACACCTCTTCCGGTGCGCGGAAAAACCTCTCTCCATGGAACCGGCCCAAAAGGTTGGGGACACTCCGATCTAGATCTATGATCTATGAATTTCTAGAATTAATAAATAACAGTCAAACAATCATTTGGTCCTTCTGTTCCGTCTGGAGAATTTTACATATAAAAAGATTTTGAGCTGCAATACACCTCCATTTGTTGGGTGAGTCAGTTATCCCCACAGCAAACTCAGCTCATTGTTCCTTTGTGCTGTTCACACTAAGGCAGTTTCCTGGGGCTGCAAGTCAAACTTTCCAAATGAAAACCAAGAGGAACAAGACATTTGCATAAATGCACATTTCTTCCAAAGCAGAAGCATTTTAAGCTTTAAAAATCAGGTTTTTGCCATTTATTGGAATCTTTTCCCTTTTCCCAATGTAACCACCGCTAAATTTCAGGAAGCGAGGTATAGACCAAAGTAGGATTTTCCCTGCACGCAGTGGGTCTTTCTGTGAAGAATATATATATATTCTTATATATTAGGGCAATTAATTTTATAAAAAGGCTAATTGATTCTTCCAGTCTATTTTAGAAGTTTGTTGCTATTCATTACTTTCTGTAGGAAACTATCTAGGTGGGAAAGTTTCCTGAATATTCTGAAATATGCCCAGACCCAGATTGTGATCCATTAGTAGCTAGCTAGGGGTATTCTGAGAAGTAAAGTCCATATACCTAAAAGTTGCCAAGTTTGAGAAACCCTGCACTAGCTCTGCTTACTTTATTTTTCCAAAGCTTAATTATTTATAGATAATTTATAAATATTTTTATATCTGGATGACAGCGATAGAGAGACAGAGTGAGATAGAGAGATAGAGAGAGATAAATGAATTATAATGTAGTTTAATTCTTTTTTCAAAAGTATTCCAGATCATTAATAACATTTCCTTAATCCCTTCTTCTACTAAGATTCTTTCCTTTTTCAGATTGTTCTTTAAAACGATATGCTAATTTGTTTTACAAAATAGACTTTTTAATCAACTTTTGTTATGTGGTGAATCAATTAACGAGGATAAGACCATTCATATTTTAGCTGTGTTGCTGTGCCTTGTATAGTTTGGTAAAATCTGTTTTCTTTTTGCAGGAACGTAGCTTTGACTGTAAGATCTGTGGGAAGAGCTTCAAGAGATCTTCCACTTTGTCCACACACCTTCTCATCCACTCAGATACCCGGCCTTATCCATGTCAGTACTGTGGAAAGAGGTTCCACCAGAAATCTGACATGAAGAAGCATACTTTCATCCATACAGGTGAAGTCTGCATTTTCATCCAGCTTCATAGATACATTGCCTTTTCTTAGCGCTGGGATAAATGTATGGTCATTGATGTACCCCACTAGTTCCTTTTAAGTTTTTTTCTCTCTCTCTTCATGATCATCATCTCTTATAATCTATCTATCTATCTATCTATCTATCTATCTATCTATCTATCTATCTATCTATCTATCTATCTATCTATCTATCTATCTATCTATCACCCATCCATCATCTATCTATCTATCTATCTATCTATCTATCTATCTATCTATCTATCTATCTATCTATCTATCTATCTATCTATCTATCTATCTATCTATCTATCTATCTATCTATCTATCTATCTATCTATCTATCTATCTATCTATATCACCCATCCATCATCTATCTATCTATCTATCTATCTATCTATCTATCTATCTATCTATCTATCTATCTATCTATCTATCTATCTATCTATCTATCTATCTATCTATCTCATCCATCTATCCATCCATCCATCCATCCATCTACCTATCTATCTCATCCCTCCCTCCATCCATTGTACCAATTTTTTTTAGTAAATCATGGAGAAAATTTTAGAATCAGTATATCTGCTACTATTAATTCATTTCAGAAAGATGGATAGTGCTGATTGAAATGGAAGAAATCTTATGCTAGAGGGTTATAAGACTTAGCCATGTACATGGAAATATATAAAATAAGTGTAATTTTTTTCTTATAATTATTCAGCCAGAACAAAGCAATTTGGTGTGTGTTGTTTTTAGACACTATGTTAATCATCATCACTTTTCCATTTTTCTTAGCACTAGTCAAAATATGGGGGAACATAGTGAAATATAAAATATCTGCTGATTGATCCTCTACCCTAATTTTAGGAAGTTACAGTTTTTCAGTAGCTACAAAGAAGGGCTATATTTTAAAGGCAGGAGGAATGTTCCACTGCATCTCTTCTAATTAATTCACTGAAAATTAATAGATTTTTGTACACCAAAATCCTTGCAAAAGCGTGGGCTCCATAATTAAGGAAATCATTCCTGATCAGATATAAAATTCACCAAGTGACCTTGAAGATGTCACTGATTCAATTCTGCCTATCTAGCAAAATGTTCATGCCTCAGACCAACCTATTGTTCTGTGAAAAAAATGAGGCATCTTCCTGCTACTTTTAGAGGACCTAACACCATCTGCTCTGTGATACCCCTGTCCATTATCTTACAACACAGGAAATAAGGGCTACCAAGAAAGGAAAGACAGCTATCTCAGTAATGTAAAAAGAAGGTGTGCTATAGACCAGGGGTGGGGAACGATGACTCTTTTATGACTTGTGGACTCAGTTCAACTCATGTTGGCTCAGGAATTCTGGGAGTTGAAGTCCACAAGTCATAAAGCAGCCATCGTTCCCCACCCCTGCTATAGACCAATAAATGGACAAATATTGAAGCTATATCCACAGGAGTCCTTATTAATAAAGCTGGGGACATTTTTTTCTTGTACCAGCATGAAGATTTGTTTTCATGCATTTTTCAGGTATAAAGAACATTTGCGTTTGTTCTTGGTTATGTTGAGCTAATCCACATAAATGCATCCTTATATTATAATAACAACTATTATATACTACTGTTTGATATTGCTTCTCATGGCTCCAGTGATCAGGAATATTATCATGTAATTCCCTAGACTGGACCATACACACATTCAGTGTTATAAGTTTGACCCATCGTGCAGGCTAATTTATAATTAAATTATAAAATCAATCAATCAATCAATCAATCAAATAAATAAATAAAAATAAAAGCAATTTCTTCCATACTTTTAGACTGGGGGAAAAGGGGAAGCATCCTATTTCTACAAAAAGGGCATAAAATATATTGAGGATATCGTTTTCCTGGAGTGAAAGATGTTAGTTTCAGAAAATGCTAAGAATAATGCTTAAAAGAATTAGACAGAGTTATCTTATTTAAAAAATGTTTCTTGTTATGTAACCTGCTACTAGTACTACTAGTCCCTATGAAGCTTCATGATATAGGAGATTTTCCTGCTCCAGATACCCAGGCAAACCCTTGTCTGTTTCGATGGGTTCTGTTACATTGTGCTATCTTATTGTAGATTCAAACTTAGCCGCATTGGTAGCATCTATATGAAATGAAATGACTTTATTTTAATAATTGATTAACCCTAGATAAAAGAAGATCACATATAAATCAATAAAAAATAAAGCAAAAAAAAAAAGGCATCACAGATATAAATCTCTTAAGAGACAATCATGAATTTTAGCAAGAAGCCACATTTGTTTAATAACGAAAAGCTTTAAAATCGAATCATCCTGTGTTTATTGACCATAGCTTCTTTGTGTGACTGGGACATACTTATATCTCATACTTATATCTTAAGTTGAAGAAAGTTCACGCTGACATGTGGCTTGTGAGGGTAATAACACCTTGCTTGCCTCTCTAACAGTTTCTAAAGCAAGCAGCAGTAGTCAACAACCACAAAAGTAACCTCTTCTACTAGGTGAAACACGAGCAGGTTGTAACTTTCATTCTGCGCGTGTGTGTGTGTGTGTGTGTGTGTGTGTGTGTGTGTGTGTGTACGTGCGCGTATGCATGTATGTAGATTTCTTGGTAAGGCTTTTCAGAAGTGGTTTGTCATTACCTTCTTCTTAAGGTTCAGAAAGTATGACTGGCCCAAAGCTTCCCAGCTGACTGTGTCCAAGAAGGAACTAGAACTCATAATCTCCCAGTTTCTAGCCGGGTGTCTTAACCGCTACATCAAATTGGCCTCTTATTTTTTTGTCTTATTGTGTGCTCTAAAGTTATTCATCTAGTTTTTCCAATGGAATAACTTTAGAACTGTGTGTGATGATGGACAAAGAGGCATAAACTCAAAAATCATTTTCTCTTTTTTGATCAACCCAGAAAGTAAGGCAACGAATAATGGAGACAAATGAAAAATAACAAGAGATTGACATTTACATGAATGTTTTACACAAGAATTTCCTTTTAGCTAACTTAATCAGCACTGACAGCTGCTATAACTACAACCTGATCCTTTTTGTATTGAGGAGTTCTTGCTATGGGATGAAAAAAAAATGACGCAGTTACGTCACAACACAACCTCCACATTTTTGTTCTCATGCACTGAGGTTGGACACAAGTTTGGAAGTCATGGGGTTTGCACAACACATATTTTACTACTTGCCCACACTGGCTTGTCTCTGTGGATTCCTATAAGTATAGCTAGAGTGTCTATAGTTGTTAAGACACTGTCAGAAAAGACTACCCAATAGGTTGTCAGTATTATTTGAGGGCAGGTCTTAGCCACATAGCACCTGCTGCTCCTTAAAATGGCATCCATTGTTTGTTTGTTTTTAAAAATAGATTTATTTGGACTGAAATTGCATAAAATCACCAAATCATGAGATTTTTGAGGAGGCTTGCATAAGATCTCATGAAGACATACATTTTTTGAGCAGGACTGAAAGTCTCGATGAACAAACTGTTGAGGAATTCTATTCTTCTTGTCTATGACATGTCAGCCATAATTCTTGGAAAAATCAGTGTTGGAGCTATCAGATTTGGACTTCAAACACCCAGATGATCATGAAATGGCAGCAAAATGTTTAAGTTCTCGGTATACTCCTTTCTAGAAATATTTTATCCTTCATATTTCTAGCCAGAATATCTAGGATTGAATACCTAGGACAGGGATAGGCAACCTTGGCTCTTTTATGACTCGTGGACTTCAACTCCCAGAATTCCTGAGCCAGCATGGCTCAGCTTGGAAACCTCTTCCTTTCCCCTCAGCATGGCTGGCTCAGGAATTCTGGGAATTGAAGTCCACGAGTCATAAAAGAGCCAAGGTTGCCTACCCCTGAGGTCCTAGGATGTAGGACTGTAGAATATCTGCATCTCCTCTTGGACTTTCTAGGTTAGTTTGATAGGGCTGCTGTATTGTCTAACCTGGTATCCATCTTCTCATCCTTTTCAGGTGAGAAACCCCACAAGTGCCAGGTGTGTGGCAAAGCTTTCAGCCAGAGCTCAAACCTGATCACTCACAGTCGGAAACACACTGGCTTCAAGCCCTTTGGCTGTGATCTGTGCGGCAAAGGCTTTCAGAGAAAAGTGGATTTGCGAAGACACCGAGAGACACAGCATGGTCTGAAATGA